CAGCGCCCGCAGCCGCGGGGACCCGCCGTGCCTCCGTCCCTCCGCAGAGACTTCATCGAGCAGCACTACGTGACCCTGAAGAAGGCGAATCCCGACTTCCCCATCCTGATCCGCGAGTGCTCCGGTGTGCAGCCCCGGCTCTGGGCACGCTACGGTAAGCGGGGGGTGCCGCCGGGGGCGAGCCCTGGAGCCCCGCGGGCTGCAGCAGGTTATGATGGGGGCTCTGGATGGTGAGGGAACCGCTGTCCCCTCGGCAAGGCGAGGCCTGGCTTCAGAGAAGGGTGTCACTGCTGGGTGACCTGGGGGGAGGCAGAAAAGGGACACGTGGCTCAGGACGTGGTTTGCCAGCTTGTAGCTGTGATGTCTCGCTCCTGTAGGATTTGCATACAGAAAAACATTTGTTTTTTCTTTGTTTTCACTGTGTTCTCACTGAAATGCCAAGGAGGGAGCAGAAAAGCTCCTCAGCAAAGGCTTTGGTTTCTTCCTAAAGCCATTTGGGCTGGACAAAACATATCTAGAAGCTTTCTCTCAAAGAGATGTTTCACGAGTTTCCCAGTGCGAGCACGTGGACCAGCAGAGCCTGGTGGTATAGGGCCTGTCCCTCGCCTGTACGTGACTTGCAGGGAAATACACCCCAGGGCAGGGGCTGCTGTAGGAACAGCACATTTTCCAGTGCTGTTTCACTGAAGTGTTGGTGAGCATGAGCAGGCTGAAAGTCACCAGGCTGCTTTGGGATGTGGTGGTGGCCTGTGCCCTGCTGCTGCACAGCAAAAGTTAAAAGAGGCAAGGGAATGTGTTAGGCTGCGTTGGCTTCTCTCCCAGGGAAAGGCTAGGGGTCAAGAGAGTGGAAAGGATAACTTGGGCACAGGGAGACACACTGTGGAGTGGTGGGTGGGGAAGGGTGATGATAGGAGCCTGGGCTGTGATGCCAGTGGCACTTAGGAAACCTAAAGCAGGGCTTTGGGTTGCCCTTGCACCAGGAAAGGACCAAGGGACCTGCCCCCTCTCTCATCCTCTGTCTTTCCTGCAGAGTTTGGCAAGGAGAAAAGCGTGCCGCTGAACAACCTTACCGTGGACGAAGTGGCCAAGGCCTTGGAGAACATTGTGAAAAGCAAGGTGTGAAGACAGATAGTAAATATGTACGTGCTGAAGACTTGACTCATGATCTTTGATGTAAAATGTGTATTTTTAATTTATCGATTGTATAAATGCAATATGCTTACCCTGAGCTTCACGTGTTGGGTTTGAGGAGCTGCTGGAGGGACTGGCTGATCCAGCGGGGTTTGTGCACAACGTCCCCAGCATCGAGAGCCCATCTGCCCAGGCTGCAGCTCAGCTCTGCCCCTGCACCGTGCTCGGGGGAGGCAGAGCTACAAGGTGACTGCAAGGATGGGCACAGCCGTATTTTGCCAAGGACCAGCGTCCCCACGCAGCCAGCACTGGTGCTTACAGCTGGGGGTCAGACCCCTGAGCAGCCCTTGGGAAAGCGTGGCACAGGGTGAACCGACGGTTCACTCCTCCTCGGAGCGCAGGGGGAGGGAAGGGAGGTGGCGTGGCCTAGGAGAAGGCAGGCAACGTGGGGTGGCAGGGACTGAAGGCGGAGGCTCCCGGGGACCCCCTGACCATGTCCAGCAGTGCTCGTGCCTGCTCCTGGAGTTCTGGAGTGCTCTGGTGCTGCTCGAGGGCCCCGTGCCCGCCTTGCCTGAGGAAGTCAGCAGCAGCCTGTGCGAGAGGAGAGGGGTGAGGGCTGGCTGGCTGCCGCCTGAGTAGCTGCTACAGCTGATCCTCTCTGCCCAGAGCCACCACTGTACAGCCTGTGGAACGGGGCTGGAAGGATTCCCCAGACGCTACAGTCCCAAGCCAGGTAAAGCCAGCCATGCTGCTCACTGGGCAGGAGCGCACAGAGCTCAAAGTGAGCACAACTGAATTAAAAGAATCCCCCAAATAACCTCAAAGGGTACAAACAACCTGCCCAAAAACCAGTCCCTGTCAATTAAACAGAGCTCTGCCCAGAGACACAAAGAAGGGCTCCCACCCTCTGCGTCACACAGGTTTTATGGCACGTGTCTGGGTGCTGAGGACTGGGGTTAGTGTGACAATGACTGAAGGCAGTATTTAAATAATAATAATCATCATCCCCATCCTTTGCTTTATGATGCTGTGCTTGATTCTGTGGCAGGGGCCCCCCCCCCCCGG